GGTTCTCTCCTGTATCGGTAGCCAATGAGCTCGCTGCTCAACATTCAAATATATGACTAGTGCTTGCCATAGCAGTTGCAGCTTGCTTCAGAAACCATCCACCTTCCCCAGCTCCACTTGTATAGATCTGCTACGAGGTGATTCATGTATGCTATATGGGGCTTATTTCATGTATGTTATATTTAAAGCAGCAATATTTCTTACAAGCGCACAGCAGCATGTTGTGGATGTATTGGCAGTAGCAAGTCTCAGTACTTGCTCTGCTGCAGCAGCGTAGCAGATCTATTCCGCCAAGACCAAATACATTAACATTGTCATGTACATTATCATGACAGAACTATATTTCATCTCTTTATTTTCAAACAACCAGGCTAACGAATGGCTTGACACAAACCGTACCGGGGCAGAGCCTAGACAAGGCTTCTGTGTAGGCATAAATTCAGCAACCTACCTGAGAAATATTTGTTTATCTCATAAATATTAATTTACTAAGCATTTGCACCCACAACTACCCTCTAGCCTACATCCCTGGCATATCTCCTGTTTTATTCAGCTGACCAACTATCAAAATCTGTGTGGCAAAGCTGCGTGACTCACTGGACAGCACAGAGCGAATGCATTTTGCACTGTAGTGGAGCGCAGACCAGTATCGATTTAAGTGTAAATACATAGCAGTCATAACATTTGTTTCAGACAATTCTCTGTGTTTTGGACAAGGGATGAATTTGAAATGATATAGATATGTAAAGATATGACATTATTTCATATCAGTGTAGTTTACGGTAAAATCTATGATTTTTTTTTTCATTGTTAAATTTTAGGGATAATGTTAAATAGCCATTATAAAATAGGATATAACTACTCTCAGTTACAAGAAGATACCAAAACCCTGAAATAACTATGCACCCTCGATGCGCACTTCTGCCGAGGCCGCACTGAGGCGAGCTGTGCAGCAGACTTCTACCCGACAGTCAAAGCGGCATTACGTCACGAAAGTGTGGACTCAGAAGAAGACCGCGAGGGTTTAGGGTGCGATTTGGGACAGGGCCCTATACTATTTGTCTTTGAATCACTCACTCAAAGATGCGTTAAAAGACTCGTATTCATTCAGAAAATAAAACACCATTTTGTGTGATATCAGTTAATACTCAGTATTAATTAAATAAACGCAGAGTATTGTCTAAAACAAAAGTTATGACTGCTTAAAATAACTTTAATAATAATTAAAATTAAAATACACTTAAAATAATACACTTCACTACAGTGCAAAATGCATTCGCTCTGCACTGTCTAGTAAGTCGTGCAGCCTTGCTACACCGTTTTTGATAGTTGGTCAGCAAAATAAAACAGGAGATGTACCAAAGATGCAGGTTAGGGGGTAGAATGTATGCCTACACAGAAGTAAGCCTTGTAAAGCTCTGCCCCGGGATGGTTTGTGTCAAGCCATTCGTTAGCCTGGTTGTTTGAAGAGAAAGAGATTAAATATAGTTGAAATAAACATGTTAAGAAACAGTACAACTGTAGCAGTGGAGGACTATTATTCTGTTGCAGAGAACTGGGGAACAACTGATGATGGCAAGGTCATGGCACGTTTGGTTGACCAATCAGCGGGAAGGCGGCGTTTAATTCCCGCCCACATGCAGAGACCCAATATTCAATCTGTTTATTAATTTTCTATCCCTGAACATAAAAACGAAAAATATATATATATATTTTTTTTTTATGAAAAACTAAAAAGGTGCCGTTTTCTTATTTTTCTGTTTTCAGTATTAAATAAAAAAAAGAAAAAAGAATGATTGGAAGATACCCTGACTGGATGCTGAATTTAAATGAGAATTTTAACTTTTCACTTTGGCTCAGCTCCTCAAAAAAAAAAAAAAAACACTTAACCATTAAGTGGTTGAAAGTGAGCCTGTTCTTCCTTTCCTATCAAAACCCCAAGGGTCTGGCTGCGGACATGCACTTGTACTCTCAGACACCTTCGCTTCTGCAAGAGACTTCACTTGCAATCTTTTTTTATTTTATTTAATTAATTAATTTATTTTAATTTTTAGAAAACCATAAACACTTAAAGTGCCCCTATTATGCCATTTCCAATATTGCCTTTCATGCAGTGTGTAATGTAGCTGTATGTGAATGTAAACGATCAGGGCTGCATTTCTTATATTATATTATATTATATTATATCCGAGTTGTCTGGAACGCAGCATTAGGTTAACATTTCAATAAACGAGCGTGTAATACAATTACGAACCATTCTAAGGCGACATTTCAGCACTTGACAAACGGATAGCGACTCCTAAGTAGCATTTAAAGCACGGCTACGTGCGATTGTGTTAAGTGCATTTTTGGGAAAGGCACATGAAACAAAAATGAACTATCGTAAAATGACTCGTAGAAAACGCTCTTAAACTCTAAGATCAATCGTTATCGCGAAACGCAGCCCAGCAAAGTTGTAAAGCCGAAAGTGCACGATAAATAAAGTTATTGTCTCCCAAAATAAAGAATGGACTCTCTACAGCCTAAACGAGTCATTAGTAATTCGAATCCCACTTCCGTGACGGCTACACGTCACGGAGTAACACATTTGCATAATTCCTGCCTACGCTCTACGTTGGCCGGCAGCGAACAACTTGACTCCGCCCACAAACACGTCATTTTACTGACGACTGCTTCTCTAGTTTCGGGGAGTTATGCGGGATTCACTAAACGCTTGCTCTTGAAAGATGGCTCAGTACCCTCTTTAATTGGACCAGCTGGCTCCACTGAATCACAAATATGATAAATAATAGATGTTTATATTTTCTATCGAGCGTTCAAAATACGGAACTATGGCAATGGGCGTATCGTTTCCGACACGCGCTGTACGCGGTAGACCAATCACAACAGACTGGGCCATCTGACCAATCAGAGCAGAGTAGGCTCACGGAAAGGAGGGTTTTAGAGAGACTGAATCTTAGAACTGCTTTGAACGAATCGTTTGAGAATCGCTGGAAAATGAGGTGATATTAAATGCATATTTTGAGAAAACAAAAGCATTTTTTGACCTTGCATGCATGTAATCTTATTGTAGGAGACTCCCAAAACAATATTAGGAACCTTAAAAATGGCATAATAGAGACACTTTAATATGGCTTAAAATGTATTAAGATAGTGCTATTAAAAGATCAAATTAATACATTAAGCCATATTAAGTGTTTATAACTTTGCGAACTTTATAAACTAACCTTGAGAAACACTATATAAAAATCTGAAACTGCATTTCATGACACACATATATTGAGGGCTTAAATCCATCATGGTACTTTGGGCCCGAGATGGGAAATATTATTTCTTGAGAGTTTAGCAGTAATACTTTCAAATGAAAAATTAACACACACACACACACAGACACACACACACACACACACACACACACACACACACACACACACGCCACCATCTGAGAATGAACTACATTCTGGACGATGGTACATTTGTTTATATATAGGTTTATTTTTGATGGTGTGAAAATCATACTGACCTTTGCCATTTTTATCAAGATGCCAGTAGACACAGATTCCATTTTCACTCTGCAATAATAAAAGCACACTTTTACAGAAGTGAAAATAGGCAACTCATCCAAAAAAAATCCACAAGGGCCACAGTGTGTTTTTACAATTATAGTGTGATGTGAAAGCATTTTACCTGATTGGTGTTTATGAATCTGAGTTGAACAGGCTGAGAAAGGTTGCGAATTTCTTTCACACCAAGCCAAACTCCCAACACACTTTGCCCATGCAATATTGGGCCTGACTCATGTGAGTCATTTCTCTTCTGTGTCAACACCACAATAACAAATGGTCCGAAGAAGAAACCACCAGGTTATGAAATGCATATGTTGCCCAAAGAAGATAAAATCACATAAAATAAGGCTTTGAGGGACAGACGTACAATAATTCTGTGTACCTTGGTGTCTAAACTGCTGCTGACCCTGAAGAAAGTCTCGTTGAGAATAGACACAATCAAATCCACTTCCTTATGGTTTCCCCCCCGTCTATTGCTGCTCCTCTGTAATGCTTCTTCAGAGACGTGGATTTTATATCCTCTTTCTGTATCAACTATTTCCTGTAAAAACGGTGAAGGCACAATCCAGCGTGTGACCTAATTGATCTTCCTGTACTGCTGACTATGTTGCTGACACTTGAACTTTATTTCTTGCTTTATGGCTTTTTTTTTAGTCTTGAAGTTAGTCAATCAGACAGTAACCACTGTCTTGAACCTTACCTCTGAGGAAACTGGTCTAGAGAAATAATTTGGAACTCGCATCCTAGAAACTTTAGATGAGCAATTTCTCATTCCATCTTCAATACACCTGTTAAAAAATACATTTAATATATTTTATACCTCTAAACATTATAAAACATGACCTGACAGCAAAGCAACCTGTCCATATCATACAT